GTGATACCATGGCACTCTACCCAGGGGGATAGCTTGAGGCTCTGTCTCAAAAAAAAAAAAAAAAAAAGAATTTCAGTTTGAGTGGAGTATTAGAATTTGAGTTTACTAAGTCAATCAATCATTCAAAAGTTGGACAAGATATGGCACTGTGTATGTGTTTGTGTGTGTAAAAGACTGGAAAGAACAAAGATTTACCAATGACTGACGATGCTGTAGTTGTAAGGGAGAATGTCCTTATTTTTCAAAGATATGTGGCTAAGTCTTATGATCTTTATAAATTACAGTCAATTGGTTCAGAAAAATACATACATAGTTACAAAAATATGGCAAATATTAATTTTTCTGTATGTTGAAATTTTTCATAATATGTAATTGGCAAAAAATGTTAATAATAGTGATTCCTCAGGCAGTAATTCTATGAATGATTTTTACATTCTTGCTTTATATTTTTCTGTATTTTCTAAATTGGTTTAATTATTTTTATCAGACAAGGGGGAAAAAAGGCTGCATTATCCACACAAATGGTGCCCTTTTCACAGGCATTTCTCCCTTAGGGGCCTGTTCCAGGTTCCCAGAGAAAACACAGCTTTGTCAGAGGCCCCAGGAGATCCCAGTAGAGCTGTGACCACACTCACAACTCGATGCCGTGTTCAATGATTTCCTTTTGTTGCTTGATGACCTCAAATTGCTCTGGGTCATCCTGAACGGCTGTCTGAGTCCCTGAGGACACTGTGGACTCCATCGATGTCACGCTGCTCCGTCTGGCCAAGTCAAGGCCTTTCCCATCCACCATTTCCTGATCTGTGAGTCTCTCCTGACCTGCAGTGACATGAAAGCAAAGGAAACCAAAAAGACTGATGGGACAGAGACACGGCTGAGTTAGGACCAGCTTCATGGTTCCCTCTCTCAAACCTATAACAGCAACACATTTGTACTAGAAGGATCATAAGCACAAAACCTTAGTATCACTCAGACAGACACTTTAAAACTTCTTTGGAATAGTCTTTAAAAGAAACTTATTTTTTCATGGCACTTTATATAAATCTAAAATTCACATGAAAGAGTGAAAAAGGTAAAAACAGACAAGACACCTAAGGAGTAACGGACAGGCAGACTTGTCCTACAAGATACCAAAATTTATGTAACTCCAACAATTTGAAAAGTGTGCTGGTACTGGTGTAAGATCAGAAAAATCAAGAGAACAGTACAGAAAAATCCAGCAACAGATTTAGATACATAGGAGAATCTGGTATATCATAAAGGTGATGCTTCAGATCACGAGAGAAGAAGAGACTACTAAAAAAGTTAGAATAACTGGCTCTCCATCTGGAACAGTACAGTTAGGGCAGAACTTTACACTTTGCCCCCTACTTCTAGAGAATTTAAAAAGCAGAATTTTTAAATACTATACATAAGCAGAATTTTTAAATACCATATGTATTCAGCCAATTAAAATGTTTTCTTTGGTTCTAAGACAAATACACCAGACAACTTTTCCTGGCAGGTGTATGCAGCCTGTTATGAATGGAGGTGACAGCCATTCTCTCTCACCGAGGCTGGTCTGGTGGTTGGGATTCACATACAGGTCTTTGCTCCATTCCACCATGCACTTGAGAATGGACACAAGGCACTCCAGGCCTTTCTTCCTCAGGCTGAGCTCCTAAAGGATAAAGTGACACAAAATAGAAACTTAGCAGAAAAATTAAGAGCAGAAACATCTACAGATCTCTTAGGGAATCTAGTGAGGATATGAGATTAATCACTGACATTCAATGATATCAAAGATGAAACACACTCAAAGGAAAGTTAACAGGTGACATAGGTATTCAGGACACACTACAAAACTGTGGTGTACAACACTCCCAACCTCCAGCATGACTTCTCTGCTGCCCCAGTAATATTCTTGTCTGCAGTGTTCACCATCACCTGACAACTTATTTCTTTATTATTGTTTCCTGGTGGCAGAAACTGTGTGTGTGTACATGCACTGAGATGTGCGTGGGTTTTGTTCACACTATATTCTCAGCACTGAGGACAGTGTGGGCTCGTGGTGGCGCTCTACAAAGGTTTACTGAAATGAACAAACTTTACATAGAATTAAGTGTCCTCAATGTCTTTACCTGCAGAGGTGTCATTCCCAGCTCATGTCCACTTCTTCCCTGAGCGATTTTGGATAAATCATTTACAAGGCGCTCAAAAATGTTAGCAGCATTTAAATCACAGTCGTAGTTGACATAAATATCCACAACACACTGGGCATCTTAAAAACAACATATAAGTATGAGAAATTTCCATCAAAGACAAACAACGGTTATGTTTTCTGATGAAGTGAGATTTGTTTGCCAAAAAATTTCCTCAGCGAACTGCTGACTCAGGTGGCCACATCTCACTCAGGAAGTGTATGCTGGAGGTACTAGAAAGTCAGGGGCTAGGGAGCGGTTTGGGGCTGGCATTGCCACTAACTGAAATTTCTTCAGGGAGTTCATTCCACTTCTCCAAGGCTCTGTTTTCTCATCAAAAAAAAAAAAAAAAAAAAAAAGGAATAACAATTGCCTGTTCTACCTCTTACTGAAGTTGTATCATTCTTAAGAAATTATGTTTCATGATGGACAGGTGGAGTGCTTAATTTGAAGCCACACAATTATATGGTGTAAGCCTCTACCTTAGCACCTAATCAAGGGCTGGCAATACCAATATCTTGGGCCCTGTTTTTAACAACTAGGGCTTAGCTTGCAGGTAGGGTGACCAAGTGTCCCAGCTTCCTAGGATTAGGGGGTTTCTGGGACATGAGATTTTAATGCTAAAGCCAGAAAGTCCCAAGCAAACCAGTCTGAGTTCATTATGCTCTCAAAAGGAGAAATGGGGCAGGATTAGGTTATTAGATTAGAATTAGCCTTTTAGGGATGATTTCCCCAATACTTTGTGGAAACTCTGAAAGGAGGAGTTAAGGGTATTAACAAATTAGAGCATCTAAAGGGTTTCTGGACAAGACCAATGGATGAGCGCCCTCAGGGTAAAATTACCTGCACAGATCCTTGTCAGGGTTTGAATGACCATCCACCTATGCTCAAAAGAACTTGTTGATGTTTCTAAAATGTTCAGGAAAATCTCTTTGAAAAAGACCTATATCACATGAAGACAAAGGAGGACACCAATTAGCAGTTTCAATTAGAGCTCAAAGACATTAATTAATAGTTTCAGAGTCCAAAGACTCCCAAGTCTTTAGCAGCCAGACTGATCCTATGGTACATTAAGTAGCCTGGGCAGAAGGAAGAGAGCTGTGAACACAGTCTGCTGAAAGCACCAGGCCTCAGTGTGGGGACAGCTAGCAGGGCAGGGCCCATTAGGGGCACAGCTATTGCTGGGCTTCCGCCCAGAGCTGCCTTATGGAAAAGCAAGACCTGTGTTCTGGTTTTTTTCAGAGAAAAGAAAAAACTGGATTTTCACGTAAAAAAGGATTTCTCAATTTGGCAACAAATTCAAATTATTTCAAACAATTTATTGACCAAACAAACACATTCAGGGAAGCTGAGCCCAGTGCACAGACTTTAAACATTTGGTGAAAAATGAAAGGTGCCTAAGAGTTAGGGGCAGTGACTTTTTATAGAAAGGCGTTCTCTAACTCATTCAGAAAGTTCTTATTTGCTGGGGGTGCCAGCAAGGAAACCGTATAAGTAGTTCTAGTGACTATGCCACCAACAATTAACTCATCGGGTATGAATGCCATTAAAAAAAAAATATCTGAAGTCCATACCTCTATCTGCATTTTTAAGTGCATTTTAAAGTTTGAAAGAAGAGTAAGAAAAATGGCGAGAGAGAGCTCAAAGACATCAGGCACTGAAGAGACGCCGTTTTTGGACAAGGCCACACAGAGATACTGCTTGATTGCGTTGATGAACATCTCGTGAGTCCTGAATACTGGGCCAGCATTTTGCAACACGGAGAGGAGCAGCTGCAGGGAAACCACCTTGGAACGCAGCTCATGGGATCTGGCAATGACAATGAAAACAACAAGAGTGCCAGAAGAGACAATGTAAAACAGTTTGTTTCTTGAGAAGGCCTTGCTCCTCCACCAGTGAAGAGAATTTTCTGAGAAGCCAAAGAATTAAGAATTAGCCATAGCACCTCACTGTCAGGAGAATGAGGGCAGATGGCAGGAGGTGGACTCTCTTGGATCCCGCTAGTCCTGGGAGAACAAGAGCTGCCAGCTCCTATTTTTTTTGTCTCTCCCCACCACAAAGTAGAGGCATACGGCAGGAGCAAAGTAAGTATCACTGGATTCTGGAGAGCAGGTTCTACAGCTGCACTGACAGAATCAATAGCTTCACATCATTCATGTGAGACTGAGCACGAGTCCCACCCCATCTTTATACATGATGAAGACGGTGCTCCTGATCCACGTGTCTTATAAACACCCTCCCCCCAAGGTCAGGGATGGTAAGGGGTGGGAAATTTTCATGAACTGTTTTCCTAAGGGTTGTCATAATATTGGCAGCATTCTCAAAAGATAATTGAGAATTATCATTAATAAGTAACTGTAATGACAGTAACAATAGGGGCTATAAAGTACAAGACTCTGTGGTCCGGACAAAAGCTGTCTCATTTCATGTAATCCATCCTGTAAGGTGATTTTCCATCCCCCCATTTCTTAGTATGAAAACTCATACGGCCACAGAGCCGCCCTGATGAGGAGCCAAGATCTGAACGCAGCTCTCTGGCCCTGAAGCCTCTGCTTTCTTCCCCTCACAGCGCTGACATCCTGCAGTAATTTACTACAAAGAAATGCTGGGCTTCCCTTTGCTGGATCTGGGCCTTAAATCTGTCTCCATGAAGCAGAGGTTTCCAAACAGAACGGGGCACTGAGGATTGCAGCCATCCTGTCCTTCTCCACTCCTTATTATGACATTCAATCTACTATTTAGTATAAAGAAGGTACGTGGTTCAACATACTTATTGTTTTTAGCATATGAACCAAAATAAAACCCCCAAACTGGGCAAAATCTTGGTTAGTGGAAATAGAGAAACAATTCAGTATGAAAGATGAAAGGAATGTAGGGATTTATTGAGTTAGAAAAGTTACAAAATCATGCTAAATAAATTCCTGCACTTATACCAACAAAGGGACATGGCACTGGGACTTCTTGGAACAAGGGTACGAAACACAGTACCACATGCTCCCAGATCACTGGGCTGAAGACAGCCAAGAATTGTTGTCTGCTTACTTTGGATCTGGGGGGCCTTCACCAAGGGGTTTCATGGACAGCTTGCACAGGGAGCGAAACACGAGGAAAGCATCCTTCTGCAGGATGTGAGAGAACCTGGTGGCCACCTGATGTCCTTGGGCATCTGATTCCTAAGATTACAAACAAATACAAGAAAAATCAAAGGTGCAAAACAAAATGATAATTCTTTTCAAAAATAAGAAATGTAATTAGCTCACAGAAATGTAAATTCTTACATTTATTCAGGAGGGAGGTGAGGGATATGGACAGGGGTGAATATGGCAATGTAAGAGGCACCAGGGAGTCACTATAGCAATTCTAAAACCTTGTTCCCTGTCCTTTAAAAAGCTGGTATAGATGGGTTAAAATGATAAAGATCAAATGTTAAACCATTAAACTAAAATAAATATAGGTAATTATATTAGCTTAGATAAGAAAGGTATTTCTAAGAATACTTTTATAGGATAAAGGAAAAAAACTCATAGGCATTATAAAATAAACTTCTTTATCTAAAAAAGTAAATCTCATTTAAAAATAAAACTTAGGTGGTGCTAACAGCTCAGTGGGTCAGGTGCCGGCCACATACACTGAGGCTGGCGGGTTTGAACCTGGCCCAGGTCAGCTAAAACAATGACAATTGCAATAGAAAAATAGCCTGGCGTGTGGTGGGCGCCTGTAGTCCCAGCTACTTGGGAGGCTAAGGCAAGAGATGCTTAAGCCCAAGAGTTTGAGGTTACTGTGAGCTGTGATGCCACAGCACTCTACCCAGGGCAAGAGTCTGAGACTCTGTCTCAAAAAATAAATAAATAAATACAAAATAAAAACTTAACAATAAACATTTGTGATTTTTGTTTGTTCGTTTTTGAGACAGGGCCTCAAGCTATCTTCCTGGGTAGAGTGCCATGGCATCACAGGTCACAGCAACCTCCAACTCCTGGGCTCAAGTGAGTCTCCCTCCTTTGCCTCCCAAGTAACTGGGACCACCGGTGCCCGCTACAATGCCCAGCTATTTTTTGGTTGCAGCCATCTTTGTTGTTTGGCGGGCCTGGCCTGGATTTGAACCTGCCAGCTCAGGTGTACGTGGCTGGTGCCTTAGCCACTTGGGCAACAGGCGCCGCTGAGCCTGTTTGTTTGCTTTGAGACAGAGTCTCACTTTATCACCCTCTGTAGAGTGCTCTTGGGTTCCAATGATTCTCTTGCCTCAGCCTCTCAAGTAGCTGGGGCTACAGGTGCCCACCACAACACCCAGTTATTTTTAGAGACGGGGTTCTCACTCACTCTTGCTGAGGCTGGTCTCAAACCTGTGCATTCAGGGTAATCCACCCACCTCAGCCTCCCAGAGTGCTAGGATTACAAGTAAAATTCGAGACCAGCCTGAGCAAAAGTGAGACCCTGTGTTCACTAAAAATAGAAAACCTAAGACAAAAGAATTGCTTGAGCTCGAGTCGGAGGCTGCTATGAGCTAATACGTCACAGCATTCTACTTGGGGTGACAGCTTAAGACTCTGTCTCAAAAAAAAAAAAATAGATGACCTTATTATTAATCATTAAGGCATCATCTTCCTCCTATCAGAGCAGCAAAGATAAAATAAACATTATTGTCCAGTTTTAATGAGGGAATGGGAAGATAAACACTGAGTACCTGAAGTCGGCAGGGATCTAGGTAATGCCTTTCCCCAAAGCCAATTTGGTATTAAGATCAAAAGTCTTAAAACTCTCAATTCTTGACCCAGTAATACCAGTTGCAGTAATTTACCTCTAATAAAGAATGAAGGTATCCTGAAAGGCTACTTGAGAAGGCAAATCTTAAGGGGTAAAAAAAAAACTGTGGACTGTCATTTAAGAATGGAATAATGGGCTTGGCGCCTGTGGCTCAAGTGGCTAAGGCGCCAGCCACATACACCTAAGGTGGTGGGTTTGAATCCAGCCTGGGCCCGCAAACAACAATGACAGCTACAACCAAAAAAACAGCCAAGCGTTGCAGCAGGCGCCTGTGGTCCCAGCTACTTGGGAGACGGAGGCAGGAGACTCACTTGAGCCCAGGGGTTGGAGGTTGCTGTGAGCTGTGATGCCACAGCACTCTACCCAGGGGGACAGCTTAAGGCCTGTCTCAAAAAAAAAAAAAAAAAAAAAAAAGAATGGAATAATGTAAGCAAAGGCATCAATGAAGAAGAAAGACACAGCACAGTAAATGTGCCAGTTGGATAAGTAGTCTTGTGTGGGGACAGGCATGGGTATTCTGAAGGCTACAATGAATGGTTTAGTTTTTGACATCTAAAGGATGAATTTTGTTTTAAGCCAAATAAACTTTTCTTTATAAAAATAAATTAAGGATATGCACAAGATTATCTATATGGATATTCATTATAGAACTGTTTCCTGTGATAAAACTGGGATAATTAATAACCCTAATAGGGAACTGGTTAATAGATTATGGTACTCTGTATGAAATTTTACATGGCCATTAAAAAATTTAGTTAGATCTGTATTTACTAATATGGAAAGATGTCCACAATACAGTGCTGAGGGAACAAAGCAAACCACAGCCTGGTATATGTTTCTATAAGTGTATTTATAATGGGGGAATTAGTTCTTAGGGTGGGGGTGAAAAATGCCTTATTCTTTTGATGTATCTTCTGAAGCACAGACATACGAACAGCATACAGATATCTGGTTTATCAGTGGCCTTAAAATTTAATGGGTGGGTGATAACTAGGATAAAAAGGTCTAAAATGGTTCTTTGGTAGAGGGGAGGCTGATAATAGAAAGCAGTGAAATAAAATCAGCACATTGTACCCCACATATGCATAATGTATTCATGATCTATGTGTATTTGACTTAATAAAACAAAAAAGGAAAAGAAAACGGTGAAAAACAGGACAAATATGGAGAGTGGAGTCTGGAGAGAAATTTCTGTTTCTGAATGAATTGTTTGAATGTTTTTATGTATAATTTTCAAGAGAACAATAAAACTATTTCTAAAAAATAACATGGCAGATGTATCTATGGGCCTGAAAGGATGTTCATAATATACATTAAGTTTGAAAAGCAGACTGCAACACAGTATATATATTGTGTTACTCCTTTTAAGTGGAAAAATATGTGAAAGAGAGAAAAATCTAGAAGGCTATAAATAGGATGCTAATGAGGGTTATTTCTGGGTTATGGGATCATGGATGACTTTCCCAATACAGAGGAAAAAAATAGGGAAGTACGTACTTTCTTATTTTTCTATAATGAATGCATATTATTTTATGCATTCATAAATGGCAAGAAATTAACATTTTTACAAGTCTAAGTAAACAGGGTTTAATAACAACGTAAACTGGAATCTGCTAATACAAAGAGGATCAGGCCAGTACAGTGTGGCTAATAATCAAATAGGGATTGCTTATTTCACTTTTTTGGGGGGGGGACAGAGTCTCAAGCTGCCCCCCTCGGTAGGGTGCAGTGTTGTCATAGCTCACAGCAAGCTCAAACTCTTGTGCTTAAGCAATTCGCTTGCCTCAGCCTCCCAAGGAGCTGGGACTACAGGTGTCCCCCACAACATGCAGCTATTTTTTTTCTTTATTTTTGTTGCAGTTGCATTGTTGTTTTTAACTGGCTGGGGCTGGGTTCGAACCCACCACCCTTGGTGTATGTGGCCGGTGCCCTGCCAACTGAGCTATGGGCGTCACCCTTATTACACTCTTTTGATAAAAGATTTAATTCTGCATCTTCTACAAAAGCAAAAATGGAAATGAGTGTGTACAGGATGATCACCAACATACCAGGTTATCCGCTGACGACAAGGACTGCCTATCATCTGCTATCCCGTTGGTCTGTGAGTTTTCATCAACTCCTGGGGGAACAGCACATTCCTGGCACTCCAACTGGCCTAGAACCCTCTCAGGTTCTGTCAGACCATGCTTTTCTGCTGCTTCTTAAAACATAAGGGCAGAGGTATAGCCAAGTCAGCACTGCACAAATCCTAAGAGGCTGTCTGATAGAAGAAAGAAGTTATCTGCCACCTCCCAGCTGTTGTGTTTCCCCCATTTCCTGTACTACTGGCCTATGACTAATGTAACACTGGAAAAGGCTTGGCCAAAGTGGTGCTTAAGATTTATGAGTGTCTGTTACCCACAGCTCCACTGCAAGGCCACAGCAACACACAACTCTCTCCCAGGGCTTCACTCATACTGCAATCTATATCAATGGTGCCTCCAGAATTGTGCAATGCAGCAGCCCTGCCCTCCCCCATTCACTTCTGAAAAAGATGAGAAGCAGCTAAACATGAAAAGCACAGATCTTTTTTACAGGGCCATTAAGATAGGAGTTAGAAAAGAAAAGCCAGTTATGAGAGAAAACCTTAGTCACAGAGAAAAATGTAAACCTGAGCTTCCTGGCAGCCATGTGAAAAAAAGGAAATAATTTTTAAAGTAATTAAACAGATTTCATTACTTAATGAAGGAAAGCATATCTCATGATCAGCAGAACAATGAAATTCTTCAAAGAGGAATTCATCATGTCTATCTTTATATATTACATCAAAAAAACACTTAACACATATAATCTTCAATAATAGCTTTACAAAGCATATATTCAGTAAGTATTTATTGTATATTATGTGCCACGTTCTGCGGCAAGGGTTGTAGAATATAGCAGTGAACAAGACAAATATTCAGTATGTGATGATTTACACACACTCCAGAAACCTATAGTATGAAATAAAATTGTTCCACTTTAAAGACATTTCTGGGCTGGGCACAGTAGCTCATGCCTGTAATCCTAGGACTCTGAGAGGCTGAGGTGGGTGGACTGCTTGAGCTCATAGGTTCAAGACCAGCCTGAGCAACTGTGAGACCTCGTCTCTAAAAATAGCTGGGTATTGTGGTGGGCGCCTGTAGTCCCAGCTATTCAGGAGACTGAGGCAACAGAATCACTTGAGCCCAAGAGTTTGAGGTTGCTGTGATCTATGATGCCACCGCACTTTACAGAGAGCAACAAAGTGAGATTATCTTAAAAAAAAAAGACATTTCTATAAGTAAAAGAAATAATGGAATATATATGTGGCTTTGTGGTACTTTAACTTAATGTAAAGTGCTTAGAGAAGTTTTCAAATCATGACCTCAGTAAGAATTAATTTTTAAAATCATGTCCTACTATAGACATGTGAACACAAATAACTGAAACACATTTTACCAAATAATACTTAACACTATATGCAATAATCATTTTCACTCTATTTTGTTCTCTTTCATTAAAAAAACTGCTGACTGCAATCCTCTAAATTTCTGATTTCTCAACCAATTAATGAATTTTTTAACCAATTAATAATTTATTGGCACTGGGACCAAGTGTTCAAACCATACCCACTGATCTGAGATTTTAGGCAAAAACAAAGAAAAAAATCATCTAATATCATTCTGAGTTTAATTCTACTAAAACTGTATCAGGAAACAGGGAATTATGAATGAAATCTAATAAAATGACTATAGCAACCCAAATGAGAATAAAATAATCCCCCAAACCAAGTAATTTTTGAAGCCCATCTGAAATGGACAGACACAGGGAGACTGTTTCCATGAGTCCACTGAGCAGGAAAGAGGGAACTTCACCACTAAAATATTTGGCTGAGGACTTTTCGGGAGGAATGAGTTAGGAGGAAAGACTGGGTGGTCCCTGGTTCTTACCTTTAATGGCAGATGTGACTACATCTTCTAAGATGCCCTTCACCACCTCCTGGGCTCCGTCATCAGTCCCTACATACACCCAAATACACAAACAACAAAGCAAGTGGAAGAAGGAGATTATGGCAACGTTCCTCTGGAGTCATGTTTCAGAAGGCAAAAAAAGAGGGCAAATGAGGACTCCCCAAAGCCAAATACGATTGTGCCAACAGAAGACAACCTCTTCAAAACATGGAAAGCCCTAGGCAGCACCTACTCTTTTGGGTTTCCCTCTGTGGAACACTAAAACCCCAATGACTTCTACTCTCTCCTTTCCTTGGGTTCAGTTGCTTGGCCAAGGGCTCCCCAGCACCTCCAATTTGGAGGCAGAAGTTGGATTTATCTAGCTATGGTTCTTGAGAGAATAAAAGACGGCGTTTTCAAGTTTTCTCTTGTGCCTCTGCCTCTAGTACCAACAAGCCTTGGTAAGTGACATGCCTTCCTGCTGTTTCTCTTTCTCCACACCGTAAACCTACAATTTAGTGTCAGATTTCCTGTGTGCCAGTTGAGGATTTACTAAATTTTAAATGAAGCTATTCTGTAAAATGTTAGTTTAAGTAGAACAAGTTCAGTCTTTTTATACATGTATTTTTAGAAAACTATTTCTAGGAAAGAGTTTGTAAAGTAAAAAGCTCTTGACTAGACTCTCAGAAGTTTACATTACCATTTATTTTGAGACAGAGTTTCACTTTGTTGCCCTGGTACAGTGCTGTGGCATCACAGCTCACAGCAACCTCAAACTCCTGGGCTCAACCTATTCACTTGCCTCAGCCCCCCGAGTAGCTGCGACTACAGGCACCTAACACAATGACCAGCAATTTTTTAGAGACAGGGTCTTGCTCTTGCTCTGGCTGGTCCTAAACTTGTGGGCTCAAGCAATCCACCCACCTCGGACTCCCAGAGTGCTAGGATTACAAGTGTGAGCAACCGTGCTCGGCCCTATATTACTATTTATAAAACATCACATTGACCAAAAATGTCATCACCTTAAATAAACAGAACCAAAATAACCCTTTTAATTTTGCATTAATAAAGATTTTCAACCCAGCCACTATTTTTATGAGTGAGAGCACCGCTAAATATTTTCACCTCTGTCAAGCTCTTAACACACTGCAACTATCTAAATGGCTTGGAAAATTTATGTGGGAAATATTGATGTTACATGATTTTATTAAGAGGGCAAAAAAAACACCTGAAATCAGGAAACTCCAACCACAGTCACAATCTTTTTTTTTTTTTTTTTTTTTGA